ACTAAATTTTACAATTTGTAAAAAAGATAAGCTCTGTTTTTTGTATATGTGGTCTCATTTGGAAAATGTAGCACTAATTCCTCAACTTAACAGTCTTAATTCCCTTGACATGGATTGATAGGTAGTCCAACTTATGATGATCGATTGCAAGCGTGCGGTACTGCTGTTAATCCAGCAACGTGACTTAATACCACCATCTGAAGTGGTATCACAGCTTATTGCTGCAAAGGATAAGTGTGATTGCCGATACTTTTTGCATCTCTATCTGCATTCACTATTTGAAGCAAATCCCCATTCTGGAAAGGATTACCATGACATGCAGGTTTGTAAAATTGACTTCAAGAAGTGTTGACTCAAAACTTGAAAAGGTCTTGAGGTAAAATTATGTGACTTGATGAGACGTCTTCCAGAAGCGGGATTATATCTCTTCTTGTGCTAGTTTGGGGCTGTTTTGTGTTTTAATGTTACCTGACAGTAGAGACGGTGTCTTTGTAATATATTGTTAGGTGGCCATGTACTATTAATACTACCTGATGTATTTGTTCTTTTAGAACTATTACTTAGTTGAACTTCCCAAATCATTACCGGGGAACCCCAAGCCGTTGCCAAACGTTAAATTGTTTTAATCATTCCAAATATGTTAAGTTTAGTAATTTGAAGCGATTCAATCAATAAATATGTATAGCCGCTAGTTTTGATATCATTGTATCACCATGGCTTCTTTATCAATATTTGTACGAGCCTTAAATAGCTCAAGCAAAAGCTACTGCATGTGTTACGGTTACCTACTCACGTTAGTAATTTGATAATGAGACAATCTTCTACCAATGTTCCATATCTTATGTCTGGTTGTTGTCAATTGCATTCTCAATCCATACACGAAAAATAAGATCCAACCACATTTTACATTAATGTTCCAACAGTTTGATTTTCTGATCTTTTGGCTGATTTTAGTATCTGTAACCAATGAGGCTAAAAACAAAGCAGCTGTCCTTTATGCACTATAAGAGAAAGAATATGTAATTGTAACCTCCAAGAACATATGATGTTGGGAAAGAAAACACAAGTACTTTACTGTGTCTTTCCTTGTCTTTATGTTCTGTATTCTCAAAAGTATATGCATCTAATTTTAGTGTGGATGCTCCGGCACCTTTTTTAAAATTGAAATGCCTTTATGGTGTTTCCTGTAATGTTTATTACTATTTGATAGTTCTTGTTATGACTTCCATAGGTTGAGCTGTATGCTGACTATGATCCTAAGATGATGCTTACCTTTCTAAGAAGCAGCCAGCATTATACATTGGAGAAGGTTCGTGACATGAATGGCTGACAATCCAAATCTTTGCTTGATTGTTCTTCTTATTCACCTTGTTACAGCAAAATTTTGTCAGGCTTATGAAATCTGTGTGAAGAAAGATTTACTGAAAGAGCAAGTTTTCATCCTTGGGAGAATGGGGAATGCAAAGCAAGCCCTTTCTGTTATCATTAATAGGTTAGGAGATATCGAAGAGGTACTTGAACCTAATTTTATGATCTTCATCTTATTTTCCAAATTTTGGTGATGAGACAAGCCCCATAACTAAAATGCAGGCCATAGAATTCGTAAGCGTGCAACAAGATGATGAACTCTGGGAAGAACTGATAAAGCAAAGTTTTCATAAGCCTGAAATGGTGAAGTTCATCACTTTATTTTTTCCCGTTATCTTTGCAAAGCGGCATATTAAGTGCACGTTTCTATATTTCATCTTATTGACAGGTTGGTGTACTGTTAGAGCATACTGTAGGAAATCTTGATCCCCTTTACATTGTCAATATGTTGCCAAATGNGTTCTTACTGGTCTTCCTCGCAAAATTTGTCTTCTGCTTCAATCATGGTATTTAGACTTTCTTTTCCTTTCTGTCTTGGATAAAAGCTGCATCATATGCTTATAAAGTAGACTCTCCATGCGTTTGGGTCCACTAAATAATTATTAGGGAGCTGACAGAGACTCTACTTTAAAAAAAAATTGCTTTATCAATCATTGTGGACACTATATACACTTGGGTGCAGAAGATAACTGTTCGAAAGCAGCTTGAGAATCTAAGAATCTATCAATTGTAAATAGAAAAGGGTAACTTGTTCTAAGGCAGCTTGAGAGTCTATTCACAAAATTCGATGTTTGTTCTCTGTAATTAGTATTACTTAATCTGGCCCCGAAACAGACAGCCAATTGCTGCTGTAGTTGTCTAATATCTTTTTGAATAATTGTGGATGTTAGAAACTGTGACCAGCCTACTGGATCCAAGTATTAAAAACAAGTTATTTGTATACTTTTGTATGAGCTTTTGTTAACAAAGATCCTAGGAGGCCAACTATGAACTTTTTAAACTTACTCATGCAGAAAGTGGAGTTTTCAGTTTAGAGATTAGTTTTGGCGGATCACCATTTATAGAGTCCAAATTATTTTATTGGTTAATATTGGTTTAACACTTGTAGCTTTATTCAGCGAATGGTCCAAAGATTTCCCAACCAAGGCTCTTATATTTATGATTCAATTGTATAAGTATCTACAAATCCATGGCTATTAGCAGGGAATTTCTTTTCCTTCAGAGGAACCTCTCCCCATGAGTTGTAAAACCAAAGAAGAGTGCCAGATGAAATATGGATATTGTCATTATCTTGTACCACATAGGAATTTATTGTGTATGCTGATTAAGAGGAATTTTTTTTCCTTTCAGAGGAACCTCTCTCCGGACTCCGGAGGTTGTAGAAACTAGAGAAGACTGCCTGATAAAATATGGAATATTGTCATTTTACTTTTACTGCATTAGAATTGTCCTTTGCTTTACCCTCAATTTCAGTCAGCTGGTCTTTCTGAGTACTATTTGTTGATCTGGATTTTATTTAGAGCTAACAACGTAAATGTAATTGCAATATTGCTCTCATTTGCAGTCTGAGGGATCGTCTGGTCAAGATTGTGACCGACTACAGAACAGAGACTTCTCTTAGACATGGGTGCAATGATATACTCAAGGTATATTATTCTATGTATCTACCATCCATGATATCTTGTGGAAGACTCGCATTATCTTAGAAGTTGTACTGGGGCAGTTCTTTGACAATTTGGGTTTTACTGACAGGCTGATTGCGTGAACTTGTTAGTTAAATATTACAAAGAAGCAAAGCGCGCTGTTTGCTTGAGTGATGAAGTAGATGAGGCATCTTCCCATAGGGCTGAGAAGAGGGCTTCACATCTGGGAGAGAGAGTAATGAGCATGAAATCCATGGAGGTTAAGTCTAAAACCAGGGGAGGTGGAAGGTGTTGCATATGTTTCGATCCATTTTCTATACAGAATGTATCAATCATTGCCTTCTTTTGTTGTCATGCCTATCATACAACTTGTCTGATGGAGTCCACCATTTCCATCGGTGGCAAAAAAGAGGCAGGAGCTGCTGCCCAGGGGACTGTCTCATATGATGAATATGATGATGGTGTTCACGATGATGATGAGGACGAGGACGAGGACGCCTCAGGTGCCCCGCAGATGCGTTGTATTTTATGTACTACAGCTGCAGGTTAAATATCTGCTAATTTTGTGCCTGTACCATAGTTTTGCGTGGTGTGTGCATATATGATGAGCTTGTGATATTATTTAGGCACTAGCTGCTTCTTGTTCTACAGCCTGTATCTTTAGCAATTTGTACTATATTTATTGTTGAGTTCAATTCTCTGCTCAATTCCCTAAGATAATAAGGTAAGGTAATAAATGCTGTTTTCCATTTCATGTGCTAAGGTGTTTTATTGACTGGTAGGTCAAATTTTTTGCCACCAATTAATGTTCGATTCTATTTTAATGGATTTGTTGACATTTAATCTTGTGATAAGTTAGTGTAGCTAACATTGTTGATCAGGAAGCACTATGAAATACAGCACAAGATGTTAGTATAAACTATAAAGTCAGACGCGTCAGTTCCCTGATTGTGAAAGCAGATTTACAGAAATCTGATGAGGTGCTAGAAATGAAGGGATGCATCCAAAGCTTCATCTTTAGGCCTGTCTCGTTTAGTGTCCGTAACTAAACCGAAAGACCAAACAAAAATTTCTGGTTCGCTTAGTCTTTCTGTTTAATACCAAAAAAAAAAAGCTCACCCTTGGTCACAGAGACTTAATATGTAGGTTATGTATATCCATCAGTTCAAATAGTTCGATTGGTTTTAAGTTAATTTAATTTCATTTACTAAGTTATTGATCCTTGAAGACAAATCAATCACGGAATATGTTGTATTTAATTCCTTATTTGTTCGAATTCTAGCTTGTACAACGGAAGTTTTAGGGCCAGAATTTTGGCCGTGTCCCCGGGTGCCACAGCACCCCACCCACCCACCCCAACCTCACTGCATGTGTCTGTCATTATGTTGTTGGCGTCATTTCATTTCAAGCCAAGTAGCCTTGGGCATGAAAGGTGGACCTTCATGCATTGGCCACTTGCCAAAACTATCTGAAGCTCTTTTGCCTTATACACATGTAAAATATGGGTAGGCTAACTAGAATCTATCTTTTCTTTAGTGTATAACCGATTTATATATGTTAAACTCCCCATTTTCTCTCCTTTGCTTTCCTTTTGCAATTGCAATCTGCGCTTTAAACTCAAATAAGACCCTCTGGTCGAAGACGAACTCTTTTGCCATGTGAATTTAACCCTCCCAGAATATACTAGTACTTGCCTTTTGTTCTAGACATGGAATAAATATATCTCTTATATTATATATACTAGACGACTACACAGCAGATATCATATTCTTGATCTTGCCCAAAAAAAACGATTAACTGTACTGCACCCCATACGGACAAAGAAATGGACAACTGAATGTACTCGATCCTTATAATCTTTCTGATTCGCTTAGGTGAATCTTCGAAAGAAGTTCTCTTATAAATACTCCATAAATAGGGACTGATAAAGATAGAAAGGCACACATAACTATAACCTCCCAACAGAAATTTGGAAAGCTGAACAGAATATACCTGAAAATTACGTAAATATAACTTCTCTTTTTTACCGTCTGTTGTAACCATTAACATCCGAAACCCAACATAAGAGTTGCAAAAATCAAGTATGTTACTCTGTGGGTTTGACACAAACCCACAGGCCAGCAAAACACTGAGTATATAATTCAACTATTTGTGCATGGCAATCTGTTGTAATAAATAACAAAAATCCAAAAGAACATTCCTACAGAACCAAAGATAAAGGGAATCCTTAGCAATAAAACATGACATCCCTCACATTGTCCTTAATCTTAGGAAGCGGCTTGACCCCTGCCGACTGCTCCCTGGTTGCTCTACCACCACCACTAGTTGATCCAGTATCCGACATATCACCCTCCAAGTAGTAGCGTGCACGAAACGCAGCTAAATGGGCGTAATAGGCAGGTGGCACTGCATACACAGCCACATATAGTTAAAAATAGAGCACTTGATAAATGCAAAGAGACAAGTTTTGAAACCATTGAGCTAGCAAAACTGACCTATGGAAACCGAGCGTGTACACCTTGCATAGCTGAGATGAACAGATGTGGATTATAAGATACTCTTAACATAAAGAAATACATCTTCCGAGTAAATAAAGTTTGAGAGATCTTACGTGTAACACAAGAAGTTTGTTAAATTCTGTATGGCATCTGCAGTGAATCCGTTCTCATCAAACAGGACATGGTAATGCGTGGGACGACTAGTACCCTGATGAATACCAACATGAGAGATCATAAAGGATCATACAACTGATAATGCACCAAAACATCAAATTTACCTTGATCCCGGCATGGCTACACAAGTAAAAATCAAACTCCATAGGGTGGCAAATCTTGGTATCAACAACAGTACCTATATTGAAAAAGTAATAGCAGTCATACTATTAATTTTTCATCAATGCATTCACACATAAAAAATATGATCAAATGCTTGTATCAGATGCTTGAAGAACAAAATTTTGAAACCTGGCAGAATGTTTCCACTCTTGTCCGTCATATTACGATCGTTATGATTAACAGGGAACAGACGTGTATGGTGTCTCTTCTGCACTACCACAAAGGTAACTCGTGGCAGATAACCTTCTTCCAAGGATGTGCATGCCTAAAGAAAATTAAGTTTTTGCATGTAAGAAAGGCTGAATTTCAGGACTTGTGATGTAACCCTTACCATCTCAAATGCATTTCATTAACATACATCCAGTTAATATACAAAATAAACTTGTGGCTTCATCAGTCATATATCAAATTTGTCTAATTTGACAAAATCAAGAAACAATAACGTGAGAAGATCTAAGAAACAGCATCTACAAAATGAAAATACAGAAAGCACTAAGCCTTGGGACAGGATTTTATACCTTGCGGATTGCGTCCATTTCTTCCAATAAAACCTGATTGAATTGACCTTCGCTCACTCCATCTCTGTCATTTTACAGTGAAATTGATTGGCTAATGAGGAAAAAGGAGAGCAAAATCACCAACATAATCAAATGGAAGAAAACAGACCTATAAAAGATAATTCTACCAGGCTTAATCCCTGTAGATCTTCGAAACGCAATCAGTAACTCCCTGAAAAGAAATAATTTGTAAGACAACAAGAGCTTTGGTATGGAAAGCACAAGCATGGAACAAAATTAAGGACCTCTACCTTATCATTCCGCCATGAACAATCCCTTTTTTAGCATCTACGTGCTTTTGATACAAGTCCTCAATGATCTCTTTCCTGTGGGGTTGTGCAGAAACAAGACACCTATATTGACTCACTTCAGGCCAATCCATTGAAGCGACTACCTGCAAAAGAAAACTTATCATTTTAGCTGAGTGTGGAAGAGCCTTTTAGCTTTCAATAGCTAAGCAATTTAAAATTAGAGATGGGAAGTAATACAACATACAGCAGCTATAGATGGACTAGAATCTTCTCCTGGTTGTGGATGTGTCACATCAGCACCAAAGACAATTGTGGGGATATCAGTGAGGAAAGGTATTCTTCTATGAACTGCCTGCTCCAGGACAGAGTTTCTTCCACCCACCTGAAGTAAAAAGTGTACACCAAACATTGGTAAAAGACGACAGAATCTCTTTTGAAAACACTTAAACAGCTTTGCAATACTAGGCATGACAAACCTTGACATTTATCTTTAGAGCAAGGTTTTCAAGATACTGTTTGTTGGGTCTAGATAAATTCTTAGGCTGACAGCATTGGGACACAATTCCCAAATCTGTTTCACATACTCGCTTAATCCTCCCTGAAAAACAAAGATGTCATCCAAGATAAATCATCATTCAACTTTCAACTACATTAATTCAATATTGT